CCAAATCTCCTCACACGACTAACTCGTTTATGGTATTCTCAAAAACAGTCCAAGTTGGGTTCAAGTAGAACATAAGGTTGACGGAAACTCACGGACTGCGCCTCCCTGATGAGCCTCAGGAAGGACGAAACCGGTCGTGGGCTGTCGAAGAATTTTCAGCAACCTTGTGAGTAGTTTCCTTTATAGAAATAATCACTGCCGTTCAGCCGCTGGGGGTCGAATGGCTAAGTGTGAGACCACTGATCGAAACGTCGCGCGTTCGAAACTCCCTACTGGAAATTCATGGGATGACCGCTGTCGATGATGCTCAGTAAGGATAAAACAGAGCTGTGCTCTGCTCATCGACTCTTCAGAATAGACTGATCTCACTGAGAGAAATAATTCTCAATAAAGAAAATCAAATATTTATGAATATACTCTGTCCTCTTTAAACTGCGACTGTGATTGAATGAGTGAACGTCATTTTATAAATGATTGACTGAGAGATAACGAAGGTAATTGCAGACGGAATGCAATGGGAGACTCAACTGAATCCCAGCTGAATCTCTCGCCAAAGCCGAGACATCGTCCAGCTGGTTCTTTCAAGACAAGACTAGTTGTCAGCGAAATACGTTCATTTGTACACTGACTTGGTTCGACCAAATTCCAGTTGGATTTCTCGCTCGTGATAGTCTTTAACTGAGTGTGCCGCACAAAGACCACCTCACCTCTCACTTTATACGATACTCGAGATACTACAACGTATTTTATTGATGGAAGCTACTGTCAAGTTTGGCGGAAACTCAGGGTCTGTGCCTAACTGCCCTTACTGTACATGGGGTGACACGGTGCATAAAACGGTCCCATAGGACACCGGGACCAGTTTTGAAGCTGAATAGTATTTCCCTTGGAGACAACTAAATGAAAACTCGCAAATGTCCCATTTTGCCCCGAAATTTTGGGTGAAATTATCTAAAACAGAAGAGAAGTTTGTCAAAATGATTGCCGCCACTCAACAACGCGGAGACTTTGAATGTGGATCCTAACGCACAGCAATTTCCGTCGGCCAGAAAACAGCGCTTTATGTTTCAGCTAATTTGCCAACGTCTTTTGTGTAAAATCTGGGTCAGTATCGATTAATCAACATGGCCTCATTGAAAGCTAACAAGCTCGAGGTGACACTGCTCGGTCGAATTGTCGAGCGCTGTACATTACGGGTAACTCTGAGTCCTGTGAATAGAATGCGTTTGGCGATCGACGACGCCGGCTTTCGGTCGATCGATTGGTCACCTGACTCGAGGCAGATGACCTGAGACACGTAAGCTCCTACGTGTTCAGTCAATGTCAGTTTCACTACAACCGCATTTCAATTGGTAAACAACATGTGAAGCAAAGGGACTGCTTCGAAAATGGATCTGTTGCGTTGACGACAACTGATATAATTGAGCGGCTGAGTACGTACAACACGTAGTTTGTGCCGTATGGTTGTGGTTAGTAGACCCGAATAGACAGGCTCCCACGTATACGGAGCTAATGATATGAATCATTTCTACTGGTTACAAGATTTCATCTACTAGTGTCTACCAAGCGCCTAAGATGCATTCCAAAAGTTATGCGTGAAACAAAGGGGTTGTAAGATTGACGGACGATTTGAAACACAGTAACTGATACACGGAGCTATTTTCTCGAACCGAATACAATTGAAAAAAATAGGTGTGTGAAGAAAACTCCAAAATATAGCTCATACATTTGAAGTGGGCCTGGGACAGTAAAAAAGCCCCTTCGGGAGGTTATGCAAACGCTCGAAGCAGACGAACTAGAATTTCGGACCTTCAATATGGAAATTCAGGGACAAGTTCCGAGCTGGTTAATGTGCTGGAAATAGCTCGAAGTTCCATGCTTCGACCTCAGCCTCTGTATTTCGACGGCCCCCGCGTGGGTTTAGGCAGCCTAGAATTATCTCAGCTCTAGTGCTTCCTGAGGGTGACATGGCATCTAGGTGGTCAATGAACACGCAGAGGAGGGATCATGCTGCATTGCTACAAGAGGGTAGCAGGAATTCATCTACCCACTCGGCCGTATACAGTATATAGTGCTTCAGGCCGGTGTAATCACGTGGTGGATGGTGTGGCACGTGACCGCCTTTACCGGTTCGCTTTATCCCTGTGTGATAAGATAATGTCAGAGCACTCAAGTCTAGACAGATTCTCACTTGACAAACAGCGGTGTTCGATATAAGAATACCAGGTTAGTCTAATTTTTAGGAGAAAAGCCGTTACGTGTGTTCCACTCCGTAAACGACCAATGCCTGTGTTTGTTTGACCATAGTCCACTTACAGACTTGGTAGGAACGACAGTTCACGGTTCACTGGTGTATCCAAGGACTTCTAATTAGAGGACGGAATGCACCGGTTCCAAGAAGCGTAAATGTTGAGACAGTGATACATCATCAGTGGTCAAATGGGAGCAAATGAAAGTGAGGGGATGGATTTGAGCCGACAGTGTTCAGAGCAGTATTCAGTGTTTATTCCCCCATCGATTGTAGTTTGTTCTTGCAAGATACATCGGGAATCCTCGAAGAAGATGGATCCCTCGAGCTGATCAGTTTCATCGAAAGAAAAAGACATTTCAGTCCTAATTTCTAACTTCACCATCTAGGCATTAATATCCAATAAAACGAAACGAGTGGCTTCAATGCAAAAAGCATAAATATATTTGGGGTGGTAGCGACAGCCACAAAAATCACAACTCATAATTCAGGTCGAGTAACCTTGAATTTCCGTCATGCAATGCGAAGGTCTCAAAGTGTCGGATTCACTGAAATCGACCGAGGTCGCTGGTCAAGTAAGATGGCGTCAGTGTGATGATGCGACGGAAAAAATTGTGTACTAGAATCGTACCAGAACCTAAAATGTCTATGCTGAAATGAGTGCTGCTAAATGGCATTTCATGCAATTCGGGGATAACACATCAATCCACCCAACCGGAACTTAGCTACCGTAGCTAACCTCTGTTGTAAGAAGTTGAAAAATTGATACATCCATTTGCAGCTTAACTTGATGTCTGCGACAGGCTACTGGATTCCAGCCGAGTCTCGGTTATGATATTCTTCAACTGAATGTGTTGCACAAATGGTATCAAACTCAGGAGATTCACTTGAGATTCAGTTGAACCTCCCGCCGACACCATGCTAAGTTACAAATGAGTGCATTTCACCAACTGCGTACCATTTGGTACCCAAGTATATAAAAACAAATTTGACGGGAAATCGGGTACCGCGCGCGTCTGGTGAGCTTCAAGGAGGGCGAAACCGGTAGTGGGCTGTTTTTGGCAACCCTCTGAGTGAGATTTCCAATTTTGGAAATCATTTTCTATGTACGATTACCTAGAGTTGTTCGCAGCTCAGCACGGTACCGCGTGTCATTAGCTACCAGTTGTTGCACTTTGCATGGGTGTCTCAGTCATACTGTTCGAGACATCACTAACCAGTGGTGCACCGGCCAAATCAGTTATTTCGTCTACAATACCACCTGTCCAAAGATGAAGTGCCACGTTGGGTGTCGTCACAGATTCCCAAACCGAGTCGTGTCTGAAAGAATCCAGGATAACGTCTCAGAAGAGCACGATAAACAATCGGTAGTTTTTAGTTGGGCAACGCTTCGCTTTTGACACAAAAGCTTCAGCAGACCAAGTGAGTAGGTCACCAAATTGCCCAGGTTATAAGGCGGACGGGGAACCAATCAGTAGGTCAGTCCTCCTCAGACTATCACGCTAGATCAGTGTTGAGTGTCAATTAACGGCTCCTGTCGGTCAGTGGAGTTGTCAAAATCTTGCTTGGGTGGATTGGGGGGTTTCGAATTATTTCTGATCGGGTTTGATTCGTTAATCTTCCACTTCAGGTTGCCACAGGTAGATTTTCCCTGATCTTTGTGGGCTCGTGAGTGCTCCGGCAATTTAGTTTGAGGGGGGGGGGTGAGGTCAAGTGGAATTCAGAGATGACAACTTCTTCCTTCTGATGACCGCACACCAACACGTGTCAGCTGATTGGTTCCCACCGCTCTCCACGCGCTTGCCAGTTCCACACCTTCTATTCTGTTAACACTGGGACGCTTGGTGATTTCTACTGCCTCAGCGATCAGTCTGTGAGGTGGACCGTAGTCCTTCGCTCAAAACCTCAACATTTTCTAAATCTATTTTGTGTCCCGTGTCCGGTGCTAGTATGATAATCTGAAGAGGGCTTAGTGATTGGATCCCCGTCCGCCTTATAACCTGGCCAATTGGGTGACCTGCTCACTTGGCTTTTGTGTCAAAAGCGAAACGTTGCCCAAATAAAAACTACCGATTGTTTATCAAGCTCTTCTGAACCTTTTCCACTCGACTGAATCCAGGATAAGTTTGGTGTGCACAGTTCATTTCCTTCACCTGTATTGTTTCCGCACCGATCCACTTAGATGAATAATAAACATGTCAACAGGTCGCGTGGTCATCGATTGGACCGGAATGAAGCTTGGGGTTTGCGGTAAAGGTAGGGATAGTTATCTCAAAATCTCTCAGGCGTAGACAACCTGGCGGTATCCCAGCCCTCGCAATCCCTTCGGGCGGCGTAGCATCTGGGCGCCGAAAGGGTGTTGCAGCTGAACGATTTTTTTGCCTTTATATAGCATGCTGTTAGAAATGCCTCACAGGCAGCCACACTAACTGGTAACGAAACTCACTAAAACACTGTTCTGAATCCACTGGAGAATGTACGACAGCACCATGTGCAAACAATGGACAGCAAAGAAGTATCAGTGCTGTGCTGTCGTTGATGATGATATCGTTACCCACACCCAGGAGTGACCGCTGACTAACAAGAAACGGAGACTTTGAGGCTTCTGTTTTAGACTTCATTCAGTATGTCGTTCATTTAACCATAGATGAAGGATTCACAGTGATTACTTTGAATATTAGACTTTATCGATCAGGCCCCCAAATCACTGACCGCTTTTGAGGGAAATCCTACACAAAAAGCTGTAGTCGGGCTACTGATTACGAGTACCAGCCGAAAGAAATGGTGGGCGGTGGACAAATTTGTCTACCGCGGCAGTTGTATCAGTCCTGGTGGTCCAGCTGAAGGCATTTTCATCCGGATCCGGAAGGCCAGAGGAGCTTTTCTGTACCGGCATCATCTGTGGCGTGGGTGTGACATCAACCGATCTATCAAGAATCGAGTCTACAATGCTGCGGTGAGCTCCATATTGTTATGTGGGTCGAAAATCTGGCCGGTGCGCGCTGAGAACCTTAAAGCACTTAGTGCTTTTGGTCATCAGTATGTTCGGACCATTGCTGGAGTCTGATGGGAAGGCCAGATCAGTAATGCTGAAATAAACCGCCAACGATAGATGGACTGATCACACTCCAAGGGTTGGGCTGGCTTGGTCATGTGCTCCGTATACCGGCCGCCCGAATTCCACGGACAGTCTGTCCTGCACAGCCAAGCGAAGGGCGGAAACGAGTCGGGGATGGTCAAACAATGACTTGGCAGCGAGGTATGAAAGCCTTTCCTAGCAAACTCAGCTGAGGTGCTCATTTCCGTCTTCCCGAATGGTGTGCACGCATCCGAGCTCGTGCATTCAGTGCATAGCTCCCCTCTCGATTTCTCCAATGGAAAGTCTAGTGATGTAGCAGTTATATCAGCTAACGCCTCAAACGCCCGGCTACCTAGACCTACATCGCCATATCAGTGGCAACGGTAAATGTAACAGCTATAGCCACCCTACAACAAGTATGCTGCTGCTGATAACGAATGATGACACCCAGTCAATAAGCCCCAATAAGGACTAAAGGCCCCACCTGCTCTGTAACCAACCCGTTTCTGACCGCCCATAGGCAAATCTGTAAAGAGAAACACTGTATGCACAATTTCCATCTTTGGCAATCCAGATGTGAACATCAAGAAGAGAGTGTTGCGCAAAAAAGGGACATACAATGGGATGTCAAAACTACGACGATTTGTGATTCGTAACGTAGTTTAGACAAGCAATGAGGAATCAACCAGTAGCAGAGTGGGAAACGTAAGAATAAGTAGGGAGTAGTTGGAAGGATGTTTGTCTCAAAATGGAAAGAAAAACAGCTAGGTAAGGGTCAAACAGGAGGAGGAGCATGTACAACATAGCTATTCGAACAATGTCCCGTCAACCGATCAGTTCTCCTGTGTTGTTGGCATGTTTCTACGTCTCTGCCGGGTACCTGAGGTTTCCGGTTCGGCAGTAGCAGCGGCAGCCGGACGGGAAGTTTCAATGGATGCCTGATCTTCGAGAAGCAATTGGCCATTCGACTCAGGAGTTGCGATGCCTTCTGTCTTGTCAAGCATCTGTTTGCTCACACCAAATTCATTGATTCGATTAGGATCCATCGGATAGATCCAGCGTTGGTAGAGGTAGATGAAAAATATCACATCTGTAAGTGGAATATGAGCAGGAAACGAAAGGATGTGTCAGAAACAAAGGAACTGAGACCATGTTGACCCTAAAGGGACTTCACAGAACCATACCAATAGGGAAGAAATAGATAGAAAAGACCCCGAAAATTGAGATCCATCGGTACGACTCACAAGCCAAGGTGTTCGGACAAACTGTATGGAACTTGTAAAGGTGGTAGGCTCCCGTAATAACGACCACAAGAAACGAAACTGTACGACCCATAGGATGATTAACACAGTAAAACACTTTTACATCAGTGATCGCCATCAATTTATGGCGATTGGTTTGGGGTGGTCTGGGCGACTTTTTGTTGGCATAGCTCAGTGGCTAAGGCGGGGACCTACAAACTGGAAGGCCCATGATCCGCACCCAATCCAGGCATCTAGACTACCCCTGTCAAGGCTTGGACAATCTGACAGTATTTCAGCCCTCGTATTTCCTTCGGGTGGCAGGCAGTCATACGCAAAAAGGGTGTGAAACGAGATAGCTACGAAGCTGGTCATCCTCAGTGAGAAGCTGGTCGAAACAATAGGGCAGATACTATGAGGTTGGAGATCCAAAAGTTTATAAGAATTCAAGGAAGAAAAAAGAAAGACGCAACCCAGAGAAACAAGGCCAAACAGTCTAAACGACTAAAGTGCGCGCATAAAACAACAAACGTCTTCCTCAACATATGGAATTGAAGGATTCCGGTGAATAAGCCAACGACTCATCCGTTTTCGAACAGGACCAAGCTAGCAATTAATTACCTGACCCAATGCAGCAGACTGCGACAGTCTCCGCGAACGTCCGACTGTTCGCAGTACCGAGGAGACAACAGACAAACAGTTGTTTGTGCATAACTAAAATTTTAAAGATGGAACAAACAACACAGAGCGGAAACTGACAAGAGCGAATCGAACAGGCAGTCAAGCAAGGACAGCAACGAAAGAAAGAGAAGCGGTCCGGTCGAGTGAACTGAAGAAGAAAACCAGTAACCACAACAAAACGAAAAAGCGGGACTGTTGTCCGTTATGCCAAACTAGATTTGCTGAATCGGAATATTTCGTTCGAAAAACGTATCGGACCCTGGCAAGCTGTAGACTAAGGCCGAGAAAACCATCTCCGGATAAATAGATGGACAATATAGGTAGTGTTCAACAACAGGCAAACATAAGCCCCATATTGTCCGACTGCAAAAATGCTGGTTAAATCCCGGTCTTGAATTACCCATCACATCGTTCACGCCACCACTAACCTTGAGCACTCCACAAACACTACTTTAGAATGGGGGCACGCGAAGTAAGCCAGGCTTCAGTCGACGTTTTATTAGCCTGAACTCTAGTCTTGCTACTCAAATCCGAGTTAGCAAACACGTTGGTAAAGTGGACAATAATACTACCCTCCTCGAAGGAGCGCGTGTAGAGTGCCCATCTACATTCTGTTTGTGATACACGGGGTGCATGATCGGCCTCGTCCAATTTAGAACATTCATTATGAGCGCACGACGCTAGAACGATTACTAGTAGATGGCATCTGAAAAGGATTTACGGGCCAACAACCGGTTGATGCGGAGACAGTGTTGTTGAGAGTACAGGTTCTTTCTGGGTGTTTTTAACCTTTTGAAAATCTAATTTCTCACAGGAACGCAGTACTGCACTGCGTGCGCGGTTGTAACGCAGACCTAGTGGGCGGGGTGTCACTAACCTGACGATCGAACTCACTACTGTCGGTGTCCATGACCAAAAACGTATTGTATAGAACACCAGTGGCGCTTCACCGCGAATTTAAAACGGCGTTTCCTCAGTCGAAATCATACACCCAGACCACTAACCTTGAGCACTCCACAAACACTACTTTAGAATGGGGGCACGCGAAGTAAGCCAGGCTTCAGTCGACGTTTTATTAGCCTGAACTCTAGTCTTGCTACTCAAATCCGAGTTAGCAAACACGTTGGTAAAGTGGACAATAATACTACCCTCCTCGAAGGAGCGCGTGTAGAGTGCCCATCTACATTCTGTTTGTGATACACGGGGTGCATGATCGGCCTCGTCCAATTTAGAACATTCATTATGAGCGCACGACGTTAGAACGATTACTAGTAAATGGCATCTGAAAAGGATTTACGGGCCAACAACCGGTTGATGCGGAGACAGTGTTGTTGAGAGTACAGGTTCTTTCTGGGTGTTTTTAACCTTTTGAAAATCTAATTTCTCACAGGAACGCAGTACTGCACTGCGTGCGCGGTTGTAACGCAGACCTAGTGGGCGGGGTGTCACTAACCTGACGATCGAACTCACTACTGTCGGTGTCCATGACCAAAAACGTATTGTATAGAACACCAGTGGCGCTTCACCGCGAATTTAAAACGGCGTTTCCTCAGTCGAAATCCATACACCCAGTGCAGTTTCTCCATTCAATATATATATATCAAGTATCAGCCAGGTGAACGATGGGGGGTTATATGCACTGCAAACCCGGCTGAAGAATATGATGAACAAGAGTTCCAGAATAGGTCAGAAAACCAATCTGCAGACAAATAGTAAAAATATAATAATAATGGACAAAGATAATAACCGTTCAACTCTAGCACTCCTTTGACTCCAACCTGCCATGCCATTTGAAGGATGCACACGATTATACAAACTGTTAGGATGCCCAGAGCAGTCAAGATGCGGGTCCGAACTACAGACTTTCCTGTCAGCAAGTTCTCGCCTTAACCGCTGAGCTATCTCGAGCCCTGTGGATTTATTGGTCAGCTTCGTTTTGCTTTTGACACCAACACTTCAACAGATCAAGTAGCTGTGTTGCAAGCATGGCTGAGTTTTAAGGCAGAAGAGGAGTGAAACTCTTTCTACTAACAGGTTTCATTGGCGTTAGGTGTCCGGGAATAAATGTTACGGTCGACAGGCTAAGGGAAATTAGGATGAATTCGGGATGGGACTAGGTCCTGGATTTTTCAGTTCACTTCACAAAATAGTTCAGGCGCGAACTAACTGACCACGAGGTCCATGTTTCAAACCCAACCTCTGGATCTGGATTGCTTCGGCCTAGGATTGGACAACGTGGCAATATCCCAGCTATCCTGTCTCCTTCGGGTGGCTTGGCAGCTAGATGCCGAAAGCGTGTAGCAGCTGAACAGTTACTATTTATCTTATTTGCTTCATGTAAAGGTTTTTCTCGAGATTCCTCTCCACAGTTTTTGTTGATTTGTGTAGGTGAGGTCGAGTCTGGCTTACTACTTTAGATATTAGTCACATCAGCTAATGACTCAACTTAACGCCGTCTGAGTAAGTATTTGCCTTTTTTGTACTCATCTCCTCGAATGCAGCACACCCATGAAGCTGATCTCCAATGACGTGTTGGAGGATCTATAAATTGAAGCTCGCAACAATCGTGCTTGAAAAAGAATGCCGATAACCCAATAGTCAGTTAATTAATGAGACAGTCAGTACGCTGAAATGTCAACTTGGGTTCTTCAAAGTATGCCACAGAATCGTATAGGGTAGGTCGTCCGTAGAACAAGGTATCCGATTTGATTCCCCTACGACGCTTACGCTTCAAATTCTCCAAAGGCATTTGTTATGATCGCATAAAAGTGTTCGGTAATAGACAAGCGATCGGAGCTCACCTCACATGGCACTGTGATAAACAAAAGGGACGGAGTGTGGTCTTATTCAAGTTCAAACTCCACGTGCAACGAAGCCGAGGTGATGCTACTTGGGGAAAAATCTGACGTTTAAGTGCTTTGGGCAGAAACAAATCAATTTCAGACAAAAATAAATAAAGGTAACGATGAGGCGCGCCGGTCATTAAAACACATATAAACAAATAGAGCGAAAACAAACGAGAACACGACTCACCATCACGTAAACATCCGATTCGATAGAGCGTAGGCATTCGAATCACAAATGCAAACAAATCATCAATAAACGTGTTCAAAGCTTTGTAGGTTAACATGCGCCAGGGTAGATGGGCGACCGATTTGAGTTTATAGTTGATGAACAACTGTGGTGTCATCATGATGAACCCTGTAAAGGAGCAAGGTGGAATATAAAGGAACATGTATAAGCGAACGGAGAAAAACACCTCGAAAAAAGCCCCCAATTATGAAGGTTCTCCTAAAGGACACGCGAGTAGCTCCAAGAGGAAAATGAGCTATTCCCTATTGTGAAAACATAAATCGATCAAGGAAAAGCTTCGGTTCGTTCCTAGGAACTCTTATTTTATTAGGCAAATTAGTGTTTTTACTAATGTATGAACGATTGTCCTAAACGCTGTTCCGAACGCCACCTTGGCTATTCAAATTCGCCTGATTTGGTTTGTTGTTAGCTTGTGTTTGCAGTGCTGCGATTGTTTATCTGTATTGCTGACTGAAACAAATGAATCTTGTTGACTAGATGGCTTCTACTGAATTTCAGTTGTACACCATGGAATAGTGAGACGATTGGTCGGCGGTCCCTGAATCGGACTCAGACAGCCATTGGCTTTTAACTTGTTGCCGGCTCTGCATCGCCTTCTACCCCTACAGCTCCGACCTGTTGTTTCCGTGCGCTAAGGAGAACCAAATTTCCAGACCCTGAAGAAAGAACCGCTCCAAGGAGCAAACAATTTCCTCTGGTATCAATGATGTTCGCCCTACAGACTGCTGTTTACTGGGTGAAGGTATATGGTAATAACAATAAGGGTAATAGTAGAAACATTAATAAATAATCGCTCAACTGTAACACTCTTTCGGTGCGTAGGTGCTATATCAACCAACGAAAGCACGAGGACCAAGAAACTCCCAGATTGCGAAATCCTAGAAGGAGCAGTCGATGCGCTGAGGTTGCGTTCGAACCAGGGGCCCTCCGGTCAATAACTTCACCACTGCGTTATCTCGAACTCAGTCTGAACGCGCTGTCGCTAGTCATGGTTACATTGTAAACAGTGGGTCGTGGTCACATATTTTAGAGACATTTCGTGTACACATTCGTACTGTCACTTAGAGACTGCATCTTACTGTGGTTTGATGGTTTATGTACCTCGGCGACCTATTGAGCTATACTGCAGGGTGTCTGCATGACACTCGCAGAGTCTCCCATACAAGGTTGGGAAACGGCTAGAGGTTTCACAAACAGTCTCCTGATCCTCTATCTTGGGGGCTGGAACCTGTGTGGTGACGCGTTCTGTAAAAATGGTAATGTACTTGCATTTCCAGCAAAACATCACTGCCTGCGATCGGGCTTTTTAGCCAAAGGCTTTGAATGGGGACACTAATCGTCCTCCTGTCTAGGTGTGGGCACCTGACAGTATCCCAGTCAATGTACAAACATGAACTGAACTGCACATTCGTACGGGGTTATGAACATACCAATAAGGGGACGAATCTGACGAGTCCACTAAACACACTAAAGCCAGCAGGAAAGGGACACAAAACGAAACCCAGACACCCCCAAACAGACTGTTCCGTTGTGATATGCTTTTAGTGCCGTGCAACCCGAGAGCGCCATGTGAATTCACATACTGCCAGGTCATCTGGAGCGATGGAATCCCAGAGGTGGATTCGCTCAGGTGTTCACAAGTCAAATCTCGAGCTGCTGTGAGCATCAAAGAGTACGCGACCCGATAATGCAAAAGAAAACGAATGAGATGATTCTCGCGGTGAAACTATATGAAAATCGAGATTTTCGAGCGGAGCGGGGTGTCGAACAACAGGCAGTAAATAACGAACGGACTCTCCAAAAAAAACTGGCTCGACCTCGGGGAACGAAGCTTTGCGGAAAGCGGAGAGTAAATACTGAACAGGTTCTAAACTGCACGCTTACCAAAAGTCAGTAAAAATCCGTAGAGCATGGACAGCACCCACGAGTACCAACCACGATGTTCTTGGTAGACTAACGAATAACCGCAGTAGACGGCAAGCATGGGAAACAGTATCCACGACAGATAACGAAAAGCCATCTAGACGGGAGGGAATAGGAAAGCTGAATAATCAAAGGTGACCGCAATACAGAAGCAACAGAAACCTTGTTGTGTGACGCAACACACAACATTTGAACAGTGTGTACTCTTCTACGCAACTAAACAGAAAACCATGATTTCGGCGTACAAGTAACATTCCTCACCTGGCAACAATTCAAGTGACATTACGCTAAGAGAGAGAGAGTTAGTCACAGTGCTGTTAAACCGCTCGTAGCTGAGCGTGTTCAACCGTAGGTCGGAAGATCCTGGGTTGGAAACTCTCTGAGTTTCGCAAGATGCTCTTTTTGATGATTCCCAACAAGGACCAAACGGCTGTACAGTGCTTCTTGGCTCTTTAGCATAGATTGGCTTCACTGATAGGAGAAAAAACTCTATTGAATAGTAGCGAGTCTCCTCACAATAACATGAACCAATAAGCAGCTCAGAGGAAGGATAATCTCACTAGATGTGTGACACTTCCTTCTCAGAAGTCGTCACTCGAGGAGCCAGTCAATCAACGGGTGCTCACGTTCTGTGGCCGCTCGGGGGCAAACGGTTAAGTGTTGAACCACGGACCCGTAGATCGCGAGTTGTAAACTCTTTCATTTTCGTGAGATGTACATTCTTGATGATTCCCAATTCGAATGAAACAGCTTTCCATCAGCACAGGTTTGCTCGCCTTACAGGACAGAATTTTAACCGGGAATTACCCAATCTCCTCATACTTTCAGAAGAAATGTGGATTGGAGTTAGATTCCTAGATCCCTAGACGGGCGAATTTGCCACCACATGACAGCCAATCCCTCGTCCTTTCTGTTTTGTGTGAGTTCGCTCAGCTAATTTCAAAAATTTACCATATGAATGAACAATTTTTGTGGAAAACCAAACTGGATAAACAAGAGTGGTTTACATGCCAAGCGACAAAGATCAAATGTATTTGGGTGGTCGAACTTAGCAGTATACACACACACACCTGGTCGTATTTTTTCGTGTCCGACTCGACATACGACGACTGGTAGTTCATACGCACGTACGGCAGTAAGCCCAGAATGCGTCTGTTCCAATCCACCTGTAAATAGACAATAAGGTTTGTGTATGTGTGCATCTGTGTTCGGACGGGGTATACACAAGCAAGACACATTAGCGGCGGTGGTAATGCACGACTTCGTTCCAAAGATGCGCTTCACTAGGACTGAACAATAGGCATCACAAACAAGTAGCAATGGTCTAGCCTAATTGATGTGTACACCATTCAGTTTCGGTTGCGCAGCTAAACGAGCACATTACGGTTTTTTATCAACCTAGACCGTGAACCACAACATTCCAGCTAGTACTTCATGCCTACAATAAGTCCAGAATATGGACCGGGTAATCCTAACCCTAGAGACTTTTCCCGGGAGCATGGAACGGTCACAAAGCCACAGTCAGCATGATAATGGGCGTTTCCCACGATATTTCCTTCAAGGACCGAGCAACAGTTGGATTTCGGTTCAAAAGCGACTGAGTAAATTCCCCAGCAGGAAACACGGGATGTCATCTACTCCGGTTAATCGTTACTTTAAACCGTTTGTGTAATAATCAGAGGAGATACACATTTGGAAATCTTCCTGACCGGAAACAATCAGTAGATTTAACACACTGCTCATAGGGTCACTGAGAACTCTCCAACAACCCGCTCATGAGTATTGTATTACATCTATACATCAACGTATCGTGATAACTAGAATATCGTATCAAATGAAACATGAGGCGGTCTGATGCAGCACATTCAGTTGAAGCGGACCAACATAGACGACCAACATATACATCCTGTCAAAACCAAATTCGTGGGCAAATGAGAGCATTTGTCGAGGTCGTTTGGCTTTTGACACAAAAGCTTCCCCCAGCCAACTGACCAGGTTATGAGATTGGTTGAGATTTAATACAGAAGGGAATCAAACAGCAAGATCTCTTCCTACTATCGAGCTAAATCACTGCTAGGTGTTGTCTGAAAGATTTCGTTCGTTAGGGTGGGTCAGTAAGTCTAAAGACCGATTGGCTATGCGGAAACTTGCATGAAGTTGGATGTGGTCTAGTTTATCAGGCTAACTTTCGTGAACATCCTCCTGGAACGTCGTCTATAATTGTTGTCCGTCTGTGTGGATGAGCTAGCGGTACAATACTGGTGTAAGGGAGAGGGATTACGTTTGATCCGGTTACGCTTTCTAACCATTTTGTTAGTAATTCCATCAGTAGTGACAACCACACGCCATCACATGCCAACACTCTATACACTCATCAGTTCTATGTCCTCGATTCTGTGCATAGTGGGGAGCTTGGCAACCATCATAGTCGCCGTCCTAAAAGTTCCAAATTTTCCAGATCTGTCTTGTGTTTAACTCATGTACCGCAATCTTCGAGTCTTTGATCAACGCCCGATATTCGTCCACATTCCTTATGCTCGCCAATTCTGGCGCGTAGTTCACTGGCTGTCAGTCCGATGTGAACCTTGGAGAAGTCATTACATGTGATTGTACATACACAGTCGCTAGTCCCTTCAACCGGATGGTGACCCTTTAACTGTACCAAAACTGGCTTCAAAGATGTACCCAACAGAGTTCGGCGAAACACTTAGTGGTGGCGGTACCGAGAAACGGTAATAAGGATGATGGATAGGGTGAATTTTCAAATAAAATTTTGTCACAAAATACGCTTAGCTCAGTGATCAGCTATGAACTAAGACGATTGGAAAGCAGGGGACTAGGCCTACTTGATGAGCCTCAAGAAGGACCGTCCAAATAATTGTCTTTTTTTGGGTTTCTAATTAGGGTCAAACCTGGGAGATAAACTGTATCATTTAGATTTTCTTATTCAACCTTAGTTACACGGAAAAAATTAGCACTTCACAGTGGCCGAGATGCGGGTGGCTGACGAACACTACACCGTATCACCGTGTTATTATCATCATCATTGTCAACTGCAATAACCGCGTATTTGTCGTAGTGGTTGTAGCTGCCACAGTTTCGTTCATCGATGATTCGAGGAGGTGGATAGCTGCGCATTGGAGGTGGGAGCTGATAAATTAGTGCTTAAACACAGCACTGTAGGTGGACTGTTAAGTGGGAAGGGGTTGGGAAGGGAGCTATGCATTGGAGGCAATAGCTTGGGTGCACGAGCGCCATTTAGAACGCGACTGGGCCATATCCGACAATGTCTCGAACCATTGATTTGGCCCGTCTTGGGGACGCCATCCAGAGAGACGACAACGACCAACGCTGGTAAGGGCTTTTATACTTCGCTGCCAAGTCATTGTTCGACTACCTCTGGCTCTCTTCCACCCTTCACGTGGTTGTGCGGAAAGAGCCCTTCGAGGAAGTCGGTCGACTGGCATACGCAGCAAGTGGTCAAGTCAGCGCAACTTATGCAATGTGATCAGTTCATCTATCGAGGGTGTTATTTTTCCCGTGTTGTCCCAACAAATACTACTAGATGTCTGCAGCATTTACCATGAACTCTCAGGATAGCCATCTCAAAACACTCGACTACGGATGAAATTTCACTACTAAAGGGTAGAATGTATGAGATATCGTTTTACCGGTCACCATATGAGGGGGAAACCCCGGCTGAGACATTCTAGAGTTCCTCAGTTGCGTTTACAAAAAGGGATTATTAACCTGCGTCAGTTGGGTAGTGCTTCTTGAGCCCCACAAAATGAGGCGAAACGAACCCGCGGCAAAATCAATCAAATGTTTCATCGGAGTGATGAGTCCACCAAGTACTCAAAGACGAATTCATTGCCGGTTCGTGCATACCAGATATAAATGCAAATAAATGTGAGGTTAATCGTAGTCTGATTTTCCAACTGCTGATTAAGGCACCGACGTTGCAGTCAAGTATGATATCTTTAATCCGCCGACCTTATTCTCAAGGTTTACACCGCATTCACATCTGGCTCTCGACAAGCTGAAGAGACCAAACAAACGAGCAGGTGTTACTTCCAGTCGATTCCATCAGGTGAGCCCTCAAAAGGGGGGCGAAACTATAAAACCACAACCTCACAGGGGTGTAGAGAAATCCATTCCCATGATTGACAGGGCAATCGGAACAGGTTTCGGGGCAACCGCTTGAAATAGCTCATCCTGTTGTTGTACCAAAAGAGGCTAATAGAATCCGTTTGGAAAATTGAAAACCACTGACCTGAAAGACGAGAACTTTCTTGATCTTCCAGATTTCAATTCCCAACCCGAGGAAGACAGAAACGGTGATGACGAAATTCGTGTTGTTATCCAGGACATAGAGTAGCACGATAAAAGATTGAAACACATTGAAGAAAACAGAACGAACGGAAAGGCCTTCGAGAGATTCACGAGTTTTCCAAAATTGAATATCTAAACGGGCAGATGTGGGTTGAATTTATTAGCATGCATTCCATGTCATGGGGCTCAAAGTGCTAAGAAATCATTAGCACTTACCATTTTTGAATGCTAGTAGCTCGAATATACTGTGGACGATTGATACGACGACTGTCAAGGCCAGCAAGTATGGATTCGTTTCGATCAACGCTTTCTGTGGAGGGGAGCAACGTCGAGGCAGTGAATTCGCAAATGTATCACACTACTTCAATTTGTTCAAGTAGCCATAAATTACACTCAAAATAACCGTTGTTGACTTGGTCTACTGCAGCCCGTACGGTCAGAGTAGCCACGTCACGAATCCAAAAAGAAAAAGTGAGGTCTTTGAATAGCATCATAAGGAAGAAATAAAAGCAAACATGCCAGAATCTCACAGCCCTCGTGACGCCCCTGAAAATGAGTGACGTACCACTTAAGGATAATAAAGAATTCTTTCAGTGATAAAGCTACTTGATAAATCGTCCTCTAAGAAAAACAATATAGAAAACTGCCGACTTCAACATCTTGGCCAGGTTACATATTCGTTATTCGGTCTTCGGCTTGACTGGGATTCTCATATTTGTGCCCCGCCTCGTGCCCCGAAATACTCGAAATACCTTTATATTAAATCCATTTCGACAATTCTTCTCAAATATGGAACCACTTCGTGTGTACGCTAATCGATTTTCCCATAATTTTTTGTCTTGTAACGATTGGTGTATTCACTGTTCAATTTCATACACTGATATTCAGATCCAATAATGGGATGCATGTGAGTACTCGTGTGTGAGCAGGGATTCTGACACAACCAGGACGGTTATTGAATTGCCGTTCGATGCGCCTGGAAAACCAGTTTGCCCTTTCAGGCAAACGTGCGTTCAAAGGGCCCGGTCTCCCCGGATGTCTGGATGCCCCCAAAGCAACCTAGGTCGTTATGTTCCCCTTGTCCGACGTGTCCCCACATTACAGGGTTCGAATTGACAGGTAATCATGCTGCTCACCAGGCTGCAGTTTTGTAAAGATAAAAGACAGCTTACAGCCTAAAATCATTTCGCTCCGGATAGAAAAAAGACCAAGAAATGAGCCCGATTTCGCTACGAAATACACCAAACTGAACCGTCTCGACTATACTATTGAGTGGTCTGTCACAAAAAATGCACCGGAAGTGGTTACCTCGTAAAAAACGCTCCCGTTGGTTTGACGTAAGTGAAAACGTACTGTCAGGTTGTTCAAGCTTAGACAGGAACAGTAGGAAATTCAGAGGTGGGCTTGAACCAATGACGTTTAGCCAACTACTCCTGACTACACCAGGATGAGTCCTGTGAAAGAGGTCTATGGGCTCGAAGAAGCTCGTCAATGATAGCAACCACTGTTCTTCTCTGATGTATCAGACCTCCGTGCCTTCTAGATTGGTGAAGACAAACTTACCTTTAGCGTGTCCTGTTCCTCCTCGCTCTCAACCTCACCACCTAGATTTGCATCTCCAAGCAGATTTGTAAACCAGTTCTTTCGAGAAGACTGGGCCGCATACAGCTGCCACTTGAAAAGAGACAACGGAGCTACAGTCAGCGACATTGGCAATAACGGAGTGGTCTCATTGACCGGCTTGTAGTCTTCGTTCAAGTTCCAATAGTCGTTAAAATACAAAACCGGGTAATACTCATTGGTTGGCTCATAGAATTCGATATCTAGGGAAGGAACGTGGATAAGGGGAAATGAATCAGGCTTATCGGGAAACAATGCATTTTCATCGTGTCAAATTAGGGATTAACCCGGCTATTGGTCGGCCAGTCATGGTTCCATCAGTCTAATTGTTCAACTGTGATAGCCTTGTGGTCCAAGACTGGCAGAAATGAGAAGTCTACAAGTTTTCAGCAACTCATGAGTAGTTCCACTTATGGGAAGTTATACTTTAACGACTCTAGAAGGTAAACGATCTTGTACTCGGAATGTGAGACGGATCGTTTGATCAGGGATAATATTATGATCAAGGTTCTTCGTCACGTATGGAAGTTGTGGAAAACGAACGCGTGGATGGATTCGTTACACTTAAAAACGCACCCTTACATACAATAGGAAATCGATCGTTTGGCCTAGCTTAACGTCCCACCACCGTGTGTCAGACTAGTTAAATGAAACATTCGTTCAGCTGGCCCTGAAATGGTGTTGACTGAGGTAAGATAATGATCGTACTACTACTAGCGTAACGGTGATACTACTGATGAGGAGGCATGCGAGTGGTGTGTTGTTCGTGGAATTTCGCTTTGCGTCTCTTGAAAAGGGGAGATCTGTTGCTGAATTTGTGGAGTCGCTTTGTAACATTCGCTTGGATTTGAGCGATGAATGATTGGAGTCAGTGAATATCCAGGAGAGTTCAAAAAGACGCGTTCAGGAGAAGATGAATGTTCAGTTTTTGTAATTAAGATAAATATGAGAGTTTTGTTTCCCCGTCCAATGGTCTGTGACCGGTCAGTTGGCATTTTCTAATAAATAACTCCGCAGCGAAGGCCTTCTTTCTTTCACTAGTAATGCTAACGCCAATCAGCTTTAATAAGCTTATATAGAGAACTTCATTGGTTGGTGTATGGGCAAGCCTTCGGTTTAGTCCAGGCGGACTCACCAGAACTTATCATGACAAATGAACATTCAAACATTTCAAACTATAAATAAGTTTCCAACTGGCAAAAGAGCGAAAAATGGTCCAATACAAATATGTATAAAGGTTTCGTTAGCTATGCCATGGAACAAATAGTGCATATCCAACACAGATACGACAGGCATGGACGAGCAATAATGGCCACAAGATGTGATAAGATTGCTTAAAGTTAAGTGATAAAACTCTTGGACATTTTCCCCGTTATATTCTTACACTTCAGAGCTCTATTTCTTACAACCGTTGACTCAGAACCATAGCTCGTGTGAGCGAGTATCGGCGAATCCGCATGGGGCAATTAGAAAGCAAGTGTTCGGTTGTGCAACAGGAACTTTAGTCGATGAATGTATCCGACACCAGAAACTCTGTTAGTTATGCCATGTAGTGAGCATGCCGAACCTCCGTTCGACGAGGACAGCACCCAATTCAGAGTAAAGAAGTGGCAGAGAGGTGGTCAACCTTTGACCTGATAGAGACATGAAAGAGAGTACGATAAGTCTGGGTGTTTTTGGCTCGATTCGCCATCCAGGGAAGGGTCTGCGTGATAACTACTGTACACAGTTAGAGACTATGCACGATATGGCTGCTAATCAATGTCAGTGGCGTTCTTGCTGTCAGTTTTTAAACCAGATTGTCTGAATGAGTGTCTGTAGGCACCTAGGAATGATTGTAGTTTTCTAGCACCAAGTCCCTTCTCCATCCAATTATATTTCTTACTTAATGATAAGGCTTTTGAAAAAATAATCGCTGTAAGGCAGCGAAGCATCGATGTTGAAAAGTGATTTTGTGCTGTCGATGCTTGAAGATGACCATTTCTTAAGATTTTAATGCGAAGGCAGCAAGTCACAGTGCGGTTTGTTTTTACCTGATTCCGATTCATTCATAAATATCTCAAAAACATCTGCTTGCTGCTCAGATCATGCTTGACCAGATGACAGGCACAGCTGTCTCACTTGAGTGGATGATACACAACAATATGATAAACCAACCAATCACAGTGTAGCTACCGTCACATAATGCCGTGTGGTCTGTGTGAAGGAAGAAAGCTGATTTCAATAACGGACAAGGGGCATCAAAGGAACAAGGGAACAAAGAAATAAAAGAAAAAAATCGGACAGCTAGGTATTCGTCGGCAAGCTTTCACCAGGAAAAGGGCGTGGACTTACAGTAATCGAGTGGCGCTGGAACAGCACCCTTGACCCAAGGAGTCTGATCATCCACCAGGTTAATCGTCAGGTTAGGATGCCAGTGTGTGGTCGCAGGAAGGTAGGTCACATCTGCCGGTGTTGATAAATTGGCAATCAAGTCTGGATGCGTGTCCGTCTGACCGGTTAACAAGTTGACTGTACGGGAGAGACGACGTCGCTTGTACCGCGTGATCACTGGTCAAGTGGAACAAAAAGAAGAAATGCAAAGACGTAACACACTACTCACAAGGTTGCTGAAAACTCGACAGCCCACAACCGGTTCGGCCTTCCTTGGGGCTCATCAGGTGGACGCAGTCCCTGAGTTTCCGTCAACCTTATGTTCTACTTGGAGCCATACTGCATAAAATTAGCGAAATACGCTCAGTTATGTACCAGTTTGGTTTTGACGGGAGACACCTAGAACGCAGTTTAAAAATATCACAAACGAGAGATTCAGTCGGGTTCCAGGTGAGTTTCCAAACCAAATTGGTAATCAAATGAATGTATTTCGACAAGAACGGAAATCAGTAAGTGGTGAATAGGAGCAGGGGAAATCCAAAGTAAACGGCCGAGACAGGCTTGATTGGGTAAACTCGATGGTCTTAAGAGACAGAGCATAGTAGACAATAGGTTATCGATATCGAAAAATAAGTGCAATATGAAAATAGAAAAATGGACTGAATGCACAGATGGTCAACGCCATATCGAGCGTAGTTGAACAGGATTACACAGACTGCCTGCTACTACCCTCATACATAAACCACAGGTACAACCGTGGAAGAACGCGGGAACCCAAGTATTAGTCTCTAAAACTCAGAAGAATAAAATGAATCTGTATCGGTAAGCCCATATGTAATCTAAGATGAACGTCCATGTTTAGACAGCCCTCTCATGGCAGCGAAATTCGTTTCGAGGTAATCTGAGTGAGCGAAGACGAATTTCAACCACACACCCTCACAATATCGTAAGCAGACAGTCTAACAACATATTGATTACGAGCAACGACTCAGGATTAGAAGAGATTAGAAGGCGGTTTGTCGGGTAAAGGTGAAAAATATGAGCATCCAATTGAGTCTTTGAGCCCCTTTTTCCTTCTATCTCTCTCTCACACACGAACATCGATCAGTACAGGATGCTGCGTATGCAGTTTAGGAGAGAGGGTGCTACATCTGTCTGTCACTTTTACTATTTTGGAATCGCTCAACTTTCGACCATTGTCAGCTATGGCACATTGTAGGGGATACTCTGGCGAGTAGTTAAACCGCACTCGTTGTAGCAGCTCTACCATCAACGAACAGGTAACCAAGTAGACCAATACAACGGGCTATTCAGTAGGGAGAAAACCCATCATGACAGCAGTATAGTGAGAGATTGTGAAAAAACGGAGACGTCTCCTTTCATGAGTTAGTAGTTTGGACTACCCAAATAGAGAGATTTCGTTGTGTTCTATGTTCCAGAAGAGAGTTCTCACTCCACTCTGCTACAAGAGTTACAAGAAGGAAGGTTAAGACAGGCGAAATCAAGCACCTACAACCCAGTGAACTTTGGATATACCCACAAAACCCTTTCCGATCCAAGCTACATTGCAAAAGTGATCCCTTGTAGTCACTTACTCAAAAGTTATACATCAATAAACCCGAAGTTGAGTTGTATTCGTAGAACGGAGGGAACTTCAGCAATTTGAACTTCTTAGCAAGTACCATGATGATCTACGGTGTTTCCGTAAGAAATTATGAAAGATCCGATACACTAATGGAGTCGGCCAGTATAAACAGATTTCGTTACGGGGGTTGCGGGATATGTTTGAATTCACATCACTCTCGCTTGAACAGCCATCCACCTGTGCTAGGGGAGAAGCACTAGAATCAAGTTCCGCTTTTATTAGAGCATATCCCATGGCCGTGTCAGAATTTGAACTCCAAGCATCTGACACCGGTGCACCGATGAACGTTGGACGCATCTGAATTTTTACTTCGGGACGGGCGAACGTGTTCACGCGGTGTGACTGGTATGTCATACTCCTCAAACGACGACCTATCGACTGTTCTGGCTGTGGCGATTGATTAACCAGCCTGCCAGGACTTCCTAATCAGGTAGCGCTACATATGCTTGAAGTCCGCTGGACAATGGGATATACAGCGCTCGGTCATTGCCTACATTAATAAACGACAATCGTTAGGTTGCAATCTCTTTTCGATGTCTGGTTGCCTTGCCACCCGAAGGATACTCGATGCCTGATATACTGCCGGGTTGCTCAAGTCTAGACAAGAGTAGTCGAGATGCCCGAGGGCTGAGTGCGAGCCACGGGCCTTCCGGTCAGTAGGTTTGCGCCCGAACCACTGAGCTATTTCCAGAGGTACTCAACAACCGTATTGTCACCTTCCTCCGTACAACCAATCGCTTGTGTCGTCCTGTTTGGAGATATACTGATTTGACTGCATCACCTTGCTAATGAACACCTTAACAATCGCCAGACACAAAACCTGGCAGACTCAGAACTAGTAATCTAGTATACGATTTTCGTACGAATCGATAAGTGTAGCCTGAACTACCTCTGCGCAGTAAGAAAGATAAGGCTCCAGAACCAAAGCAGAAACCGCCAACGGGAAGTAGTAATTAACTCCTTCTATCGCTAGTGATCGTGCTTGACTTTCTACCGTTGAGAATGTTGAACTGTCACGTTGAACAACATGAATCACAACCGATTCTACGTTAGACGGACCGCTGGAACAGAGTCAGAATAGCGAAGCACACGAAACCTGAGAACGTTTGCAACGCCGGAAGGGAGGTGCGCGAAGTGCAACACAAGGTGGTCACGTGACTGTAACGATTCGTTATCTACAACGCTACAACTACTAGGAATGTCATGTGTTGTGCAAGCAACGGACAACATAGCAGTAAGTGTGTTCACTTCGACCCTTGCTGTACTGCATAGTGATTGCCGGAATGATTGCAGGATGGTGTACGTGTTGATTTAGCACTAGTTGCAACCTGAAATACCAAAGCAAGGTGAGCTGATCGATAACGGCAGCGACCAGTAACGAAAGGCCTCCGCCTTCATGACACCTACTGCAGCAAAAAAGACAGTCCACAGACAACGTAGGCCAATAATCGAGTGAAATATACAGGTTTATGAGCAAGCTGGAAAAATCTGGCGGTATTTTTGAGTCCGCGAAAAAGTTACTACTCGAAGACTGTAGCCCAAAAGATACTGCACGATCTGACAACTCGCACCGACCCCTTGTGAGAAAAACGGAACCCAATTTGTTTGATTTGGGTAGCTAGTCACTACTGACGTTGGGGTTCTTTCTATCCAGCTCAATCTGTGGAGAAGTAGGTAAGTGTAGAAATCGGTTGTGGACCAAATCATACAAAAAACCGGCATTCTTGTACAGCCATAATGTCTCGGTCATAATACATCCATCAATTTCTCAGCGTCTTCAAAATCTGATAATTCCCAGTATGAGCAATACATCCGACCCGATGAAGCTGGACAACCTGTGCTCCTCACTTAAGCCTCCATTGTCATCTACAACTCAGTGCGCATTGAGTGATTTAACATAGTACTGCTTCGACGTGATCCTGATGTTGACGGATCGCCGTTTACTGTGACCAGCCAAATAGTGCACGAGTAAACACATGTACATTCACTCCCACGTTACACTCGCCACTTGTCGTATGAGCGACATCCCATTCCGACTAACTACGGTATTCCTTCCTAAATGGCACTTCTTGCAGAAAGATCAATTAAGGAACTCTCCAACTACTCTGATATTCTTCAGCTGCTTAGCTGTCCTACGGAAGATCATGGTGAATTATTGTGGCAGGCCATCCGAACTCAGAGTAATTCGATCCCTATATGTCGGTTGCTGCCGGGTGAACCCATTCACATGCATTCGGCAGCATCAATTTGCTAAGCCTGTTGAGGATTGGTTAGGGCCATTGGTTTGAGCTTTAGCAGATTCTGTTACCATTTTAACCCATTTTAACAGCACCGAACCAAGTTTCCTCCATTGACCCCGGTTGTTGTTTCACTATGAAGCTAGCACGCCCAGCTACATTTCCAAAAGTTGCTCGCACCTGGGCAGGCCGCCGGACGGTGGCAGACAGGCCATGCTGTTGTTCAAAGAAATCGGGCCACTCTCCCACACAAACCACACAGAGGGTTCATTTATCCAAGCCCCTGAGCAGGCTTGCCAGTCTTCAGACAGTTACATTAGTGTACCATAAATAGAGGTTGGGAAACTCACAAAGTCCAACTGAAGTAAGCGTTCAGCTGTAACACCCTTTCGGTGCCTAGCTGTCAGGGCACCCGAAGGAAGCATGAGGACTGATAAACTGCCAGGTTTCCCAACCCTATAGGGGAGCAGCCGAGATGTAGAGGTTGGGTTCGAACCACGAAAATCCCGGTCAATAAGTTCGCAACTCGACCACTGAGCTATCTTGAGCTCATTCCGGTACCTCGACACTTTCTGAAAGCTTTCGATGTGGAAAAATGACCTCAAAAAATTTCCCCTTAAAAATACGCGTTTCAGCAGTATGAATGGTCGGGATCATCTTGACCCATCCACAACCACAACCATATGGTCTCCCAACTTGAACTTGCTAGCGGCTTATAAGACACCCGTTCCCATATTTGTTTCGGAGGATCAACTGTGATGGAATGCATCGGCTACACTGGGGACACCATGAATACTGTCAATTCCAGTGCGCACTAACTACAGAGGTCGACATGAGTGTTCCATGTTGATTTTTTCTGACATAACACAGCCAACAATTACCATACAAATTCAAACAGTAAGATGAACAATCGTGAGCAATCAAAAAGTGTCCAGCAGGTTGAAGCTATAGGTAGGGCTGTCTGACCAGCAGTGCTGACGTGCGGCTGACCGATCGGCACAACCAGGAGAGCTACTGGGTCGTCCTTTAAGGCACCAAGAGGGCCTCATACATCACCCGAATACGAACATTTTAGCTTCTTAGGCACTCTTGGCAGGCACTGATAAAGTGGTGCTAGCTCGGTCATCCCGCACGTCAGCTACTCAGAGTTCGAATCGAGAACGGCTATGAATATATAAGCGAGTTCGCTACGGAGCAATCAAAATGATTGAGAGTGTGAAGACCGTTCGAACGGCCGGTGAGAACTCAGAAGTGATAACATGCCGTAATGGACCATCAGGGATTAGAAAACCGTTGAGTTCAACGCTGCACAATTTGGTCCACTTGACAAAATCAACTACCAGAAGGTAAAAACCTGTGATAAAGATTTGTGATGGTCGGCCGCTGTGGCTCCGAAGGAACTGCGCGGCTGTTTCAGTAATCGAGTTGACGATCACCAAATACCGTTGGGGAAAACAAACCTTATGGGAAACCATGGATCAAACTGTTTAGTTTGTGCGAAACAGATAAGGCGTACTTTTCGAACGATATATGGTCAGCCTCTTCGAATAGCGATTTCCAGCCGAAGGGTCCGGAGAGAATCCTTGCTTGACAACGTAGACATGCAAATAAAGCGATCCATTGTGCATCAACTGCGGGAACTAGAAATGTAAAAAGATGGAAAATAAATTGTGCTCATAACGAAAAGAACCTTACAAAAATATGACGCTTTTCACAAGTAATTTCGTGACAGTATAAACCCTAGTGCTTCGTTCGAGCGCCACCAAGGCACAACTAAAGACCCAAGGCAATGGAAACTCGGAGATGTTCCCAACAAAATTCGGCAACCGGGTAGTCGCAGTAGATGTTCGGCTGTAACGCTCCTATGCAGCTCGAAGGAAGCACGAGGGCTGAAACAAAGCCAGGTCGCCCAAACCTAGACACAAGTCGAGATGCCGATGTTGGGTTCGAATCACACACGGTCAGCAGATTCGCACTCAACACTGAGTTGTCTAAAGGGGTTCGGAGACCAAATGCCCATTCTGAGTTATTGAATGTGCAATGAATTGAGGTAGGAATGAGAATCGTATGAAAGATTCATTGGCCTATATACACCTGGAAGTACTATTACACGCATGAAGCACTTGCGTGTTCGTAGACTTTTATAGAGTACTATTGACGGGACTCAAAAGTCGTCGGATTCTAACGTCGCGAAGTAAGGACATTCAATTGTGGTTTCTTAGATTTAATCAGATTAAGTTTTCCACCAACATCTGCGCAAAACACAAAGTTAGGGGTACTTGTGTCGGACCATTCGAAAATAACTAAACAAGTATACTGAACGGAAGTGGAGCGAACCAGCTAGGAACAATCCGGATAATTTTAGCTTCGTTCTGCTCGTCCCATCACGAAGATACCAGGTTGACCATGAGGAAATTTGTGTGGCAACCTTACTTAGAATCCATGCAGTGCTGTCTCAAACTACCGACAGTAATCCAAGGGCCAATATAGGAGTTGCGAACAAAACAACCTGCTATAATGAACTGATACACTCATCTGTGTACCAGTTTGGCTTCCAAGGGGGACCACCTAAAACGCAGCGGAATCTCTCGTTTACGATGATCTTTTTCAACCGAACATGAAAAACCAAAGTGGCATGGAGATAAAGGGAGTGGTCGAACTTCGTGCAGTTTGGGTTCAAATAGACCGTAAGGTTGAGAAACTGCGCCCACCTGATGAGCCCTAAGAAAGTTGAAGTCGGTCGTGGGTTGTCGAAGAGTTTTCAGCAACCTTATGAGTAGTATCGCACCTCTAAACCTGCTGCACTTTCGACCCATCTAGGTAACATACCGGGGCCGCTGTGGCTCCGAAGGAACTGCGCGGCTGTTTCAGTAATCGAGTTGACGATCACCAAATACCATTGGGGAAAACAAACCTTATGGGAAACCATGGATCAAACTGTTTAGTTTGTGCGAAACAGATAAGGCGTACTTTTCGAACGATATATGGTCAGCCTCTTCGAATAGCGATTTCCAGCCGAAGGGTCCGGAGAGAATCCTTGCTTGACAACGTAGACATGCAAATAAAGCGATCCATTGTGCATCAACTGCGGGAACTAGAAATGTAAAAAGATGGAAAATAAATTGTGCTCATAACGAAAAGAACCTTACAAAAATATGACGCTTTTCACAAGTAATTTCGTGACAGTATAAACCCTAGTGCTTCGTTCGAGCGCCACCAAGGCACAACTAAAGACCCAAGGCAATGGAAACTCGGAGATGTTCCCAACAAAATTCGGCAACCGGGTAGTCGTAGTAGATGTTCAGCTGTAACGCTCCTATGCAGCTCGAAGGAAGCACGAGGGCTGAAACAAAGCCAGGTCGCCCAAACCTAGACACAAGTCGAGATGCCGATGTTGGGTTCGAATCACACACGGTCAGCAGATTCGCACTCAACACTGAGTTATCTAAAGGGGTTTGGAGACCAAATGCCCATTTTGAGTTATTGAACGTGCAATGAATTGAGGTAGGAATGGGAATCGTATGAAAGATTCATTGGCCTATATACACCTGGAAGTACTATTACACGCATGAAGCACTTGCGTGTTCGTAGACTTTTATAGAGTACTATTGACGGGACTCAAAAGTCGTCGGATTCTAACGTCGCGAAGTAAGGACATTCAATTGTGGTTTCTTAGATTTAATCAGATTAAGTTTTCCACCAACATCTGCGCAAAACACAAAGTTAGGGGTACTTGTGTCGGACCATTCGAAAATAACTAAACAAGTATACTGAACGGAAGTGGAGCGAACCAGCTAGGAACAATCCGGATAATTTTAGCTTCGTTCTGCTCGTCCCATCACGAAGATACCAGGTTGACCATGAGGAAATTTGTGTGGCAACCTTATTTAGAATCCATGCAGTGCTGTCTCAAACTACCGACAGTAATCCAAGGGCCAATATAGGAGTTGCGAACAAAACAACCTGCTATAATGAACTGATACACTCATCTGTGTACCAGTTTGGCTTCCAAGGGGGACCACCTAAAACGCAGCGGAATCTCTCGTTTACGATGATCTTTTTCAACCGAACATGAAAAACCAAAGTGGCATGGAGATAAAGGGAGTGGTCGAACTTCGTGCAGTTTGGGTTCAAATAGACCGTAAGGTTGAGAAACTGCGCCCACCTGATGAGCCCTAAGAAAGTTGAAGTCGGTCGTGGGTTGTCGAAGAGTTTTCAGCAACCTTATGAGTAGTATCGCACCTCTAAACCTGCTGCACTTTCGACCCATCTAGGTAACATACCGGCTAGGCGCAACATGACTGACATTATCCATGGCAGAAACGGAGGTCTACCCAATAAACTAAGATACAGAAATAAAATGACCAACAAATTATTCGAGAGATAAATCAGCGAATGATCCATTTTCCTTTGGAGAATCACCACGAAATGGTAGAGATCCCTCACTGAAATCTAGAATACATTTGACTTCTGAAGTCCTCCCACGTTTTTCAACGATTGGGTTCTCTCGATGGCTTCCTTTGCACCCTGTTATCGTGGACCTACACTGGGTAATAAATAATGATAATAATAAAAATAAAAATAATAATAATCGTTCAGCTGTAACACCCTTTCGGTGCCTAGCTGCCATGCCACCCGGAGGAAGCACGAGGGCTGGGATACTGCCAGGTCGCCCAGGCCTAGACAGGGGAAGTCGAGTGGCAGAGGTCGGGTTCGAACCCCGGGCCTTCCGGTCAGTAAGCTCGCGCTCTAGCCACTTGGGCCATCTCCCCCCCCCCCCTACACTGGGTACCAAGAGCCAACTTCTTGAACGCCTTCAGATATCGCAGAGGGAGAATCCAAGATGATAAAAATGATAGTAGACTGCCACAATCCAGTAAGACAATCGTACCTGACCGCAATCGACCACTCCTTCTTTTGTGTAAGATCCATCCCCATGAGGACCCCCAGTCCAGTCACCATATACCAAATCCTGTTTGTGCCAGAACAACGCTTGCGAATCGTTGAAAGCAGTGAAAGTCGGATGTTCGTTCATAAATACATACATTTCCATGGGTGTGCCGCTTTGGAAAATGTTGGTTGATGGGATAGGTTTGTTTGTTGCGCCAGGCTGGTTAGCTGGCTGACGTCGGAACAGATTGAAGACGAAGTAGGTTATCAAAAGACGAAACGTGAAGGCTTTGATCATACCCCATGCATTCCATTGGCCACCAACATCAGGCTGTTGATTGGAGACGTCAGCGCCGGCTGATCCCTGTTGGATAGATGCGGATATTTATTCAAATAGAAGGTAAAGATGAACTGAATCTCCGGTCAAAACGGAGTTTTCGAAACCTCAGTATGGTGAAAACGAAGGTTTGAGAAATGTAGCCAGTAAGTAAGAGCTCTTACGCTTCCGTGCATGGTTAATCCATCCCGACTTACCAGGCTAGGTTAGATACAGATTACCGTGGGAGAACTGAAATGATTTCAGGTATGGTAGAAATGCACCCGAGCCTCAGTGAAACGATACCTAAGTATCACAAATATAACTGAGCTTGAGGGCTGGTCAATGATCTCGAATACCTCCACACAGTCGTTTTGGAATTGTATTCTGCTACAAGAGACCAAAATAGAACCTAGAGCGCTGGAAGCCCTCTTATTGTCGAAGGGAATTGTGAAGTGCGCTCCACTCTCTGTGGCTATATCGATTGAAATACATTTGGGATTCTTCTCGTCCAGCTGCGACACCCTTTCGGTGCCTAGCTACCACGCTACCCCGAACATAGAATGGGGAAAGTCAAAATGCAGAGGTCGCGTTCGAACCACGGACCTTCCGGCGGCCTGAATTATCCCGAGCTCAACGTCACACCTGTACACTACGATACCCAATAACGGTTCGGTCGCTCACGAAGGGCGAAACCAGTCGTGGGCTGTCGGAGTTTTCAGCAACTTTATGAGCAGTGCATTAAGCCCAAGATAATTCGTGTGATAAGGCACGAGCTCGTGACGTAAAACTATCGTGACCCGAATAAGCTATGACAGTTTGATTAGTCCGGTGTCAGCACGAACAGCCTGCTGTTAGTATAGAAGCCCAACATATTTAACTCCAAAGGATATCCGGGAACTCGAGTGATGCCAAAGCTGATCAGCTTGATTCAACCTGTTGCGTACAGCAGCCAACTGAGAAATTACCTTTACAGGTGCATTTACGTTAAATTTTCCAAGGCAGATAGAAATACCCGTTTTCCCTAAAGAGTGAAAGTCCTTTTGCGGTAAGCCCTCGGTATTTCGCCCTTTCCCCACTCTTTACTAAGATATCCTTCCTTACATTCCTTTGGTTGTTAAGCAGTAGTATTTGCAACTGATATATTGCTGTACCTATGTCAAGGAAGGTGAAGAGTATCGAAAGAAAACGAACGATTAGCCTTTGTGTGACAAGGAACTAGCGAAGAGCGGGTGCAGTTGTAGCAAAAAGGAGTCCTAGGACACACTTGCATCGATGGTGAATATCAGTACTGGGCAGTTATTCGGGAACCTAACAAAGTGCCTGACCGAATTTGGGGTTGTATCATTCAGATTGAAAAACGGGTTCCGGAAGTTGGATTCCGCCGGAGAATTTTCAGAGTGAGAAAATACTCGGTTACCAGGCAATAAAAAACAACGACCCAAGAGGACAAAAAAGAGAAAAATTCCATCTGAATCGAAAGGCTTGCAAATGAGACTGATTCACATATTTAGGAGTAGGTTATGGGACAAATCGGCACGACAGATGAAGTGTAGGATGAGAGGCTGGGGAAAGTGAATTATAGAATTATTTTCTTCAGACGATAGTAGCTCAAGCCATTTTCGGGAGCAAATCACTTCTCTGCTATGACTGACCGGTCGCCTAATGAACTGCGGAACGATTGACCGATGGGTAATTTAAAAAATTATCACCAGCTGTCGGTATCTCATCAGAATATTGGGTATCACCCATGGATGATATTGAAACAACGGAAGCCACGCCAAAAGTCATGTAAAAATCCAATTGATAAGAGAACACACAAACATTGCCCTATGTGATCGGTACTCGCAGGTCGAGCGGCAGCACGTCAGATAAGCCTCAGGTGGCGCATATGCGGAGCTTCTACGGCGGTCACGCAACTCACAGTAGCGACTGATAAGTCAACTGTGGGTTTGACGTCTCCCTCATGGGAGTGGCGAAAGGTCACTCCACGAAGAAACTGAATATGGAGCAGTGAGGTCTGAGAAACGTACTTATTTTCATTGGCTTTTGTGAAGAATGAAAATGATTGGTCTGTTTACTAAAACGCACATCCCAACTGTCATGGCACACTTCTGTTCGGCCTCCATTAAATTACTGTGTAAGATATAGCAAAAACATCACTGACAATGATTCTCGTGTACGTCGATAAGCGCGTCTATCGTTAACAAACATGTACTGCTAAATAACAAGAGCATTTACCTCATAACAGGCAACTTCTCGACATGTAATAGTCCACTGAAGAAATGGATCAGGATAGTCGAAAACTTTTTGTGCTAGACTATCCCTCAACTGATACGTTTCTATTAGCCAGAGTCTTATTAATCGACCACAATTCAGTGGCAGGTTGTCATGTCACGAGCACAAATTTCTCGGGCGACTTGCTGAAGGGTTTGAGAACCACTGAGTTGGAACATGCCCTATGATATTGTTGGGAGGACTACCACCAAAGGAACAAATCCATTTAACTAACGATTTGTCTTGTATAATGAAACCTTTGTTTCTGTATTTCAGCCTCTCACTGACATCCTATTGGACTGTTAGCTCTTTTTGTATTCTGGTTCAGTTGAATCCCATACCACGGAACGATCAACTAGTTTGCAGTATAAGTTGCTCGAAGTTGTTTGCCTTCTCCATTTCCGGTGATCTAACGTGTCTGACCGATACATCATCGAAGAGCATATAACAGATATTCATTCAACTAAGCTGAATTTCTGTTGTTTTTGTGGAATTCACTTGTCACTTCGAAGTATACCTATTTTTTATCTCAATCTGGTTTCAACAGGAAACTCAAACAAATCCCAGGTGAATCCCGTTTGGGGTATCCTTCAAAATGCTCCACAAAGGCCGCCTCGTGTTTTAGTTGGTGCGACATTCGACATTGCAGTGCATTTCCTTGAAGGAATACTGTCCACAAATTTGTTGAAAATTCCTCGAAAGCCAACGACCGGTTTCGCTCTTCTTCGGTAGACAGTCCACGAGTTTCCGGTGGCCTTATGTTCGATTTGAACCCGAATTCGCGACTTACGCACGTTTGCATCCCACGTCTATTTCAATGAGAGGCTCAGTTGAAGTTCTCGTAGTCTTCAACCAAACTGGGGGGTAAATGCACGTATTTCATAAATTTCGTACAATTTGGTTCCAAGTGGGACGAAAACGCGGAGACTGCGCCTACCAAATGAACCTGAAGAAGGACAAAACCGGTCATCGTCGTCATCAATCGAAGGGGTTTCAGTAACACTGTAAGTCATGTCTCTTCAAGGATATTCCTATTAATATCATTCGAGCCCTACGTAGCGTAGACGCTCTAATGCTGTAACGAACCATCACACATGATTCAAGCGGCAAATAACATGAGATGAAAATAACTCACCTGGGATTGTACCGAAGTAGACATGACAGAACAGTGAATGGATGGAGGAGTTACTCACGAGTTAGCAAAGCGAAGTCGGAATGGGATCTGAAATGATGATAGAAAAGGAGAGAGAGTCGGGGTGTGTTAAGCAGAGTAAGTGCATTGATAAGGGATTATCAACGGTAAGAAGAGTGGATGAGAATAGGGCACGGAGAGGAGGGTGGATGGCAAAATCGATACCGACGGTCTGTGAGGAAATGTCATCACAGCCCGGTATTCGGCTACAAATGACGAAAGATTCGAGACAAAAAGTAATTGATCCAAGCTGATCGCGTCACTGTAAGGCGAGAAAGCAAGTCAATCAGAGTTAAGGACAGCGAATTCGCGGTTCACAACATAATCATCATTATCGGAACAGCGTGAATAGCGACGAAACGGATCCCGTCATGAAGAAATTCCCCGTGAGGGTTGAGGGTGCCTAGCTGTCATGCTACCCGAAGGAACCGCAAGGGCTGGGATACTGTCAGGTTGCGCAAGCCTAGAAAGGGGAGTCGAGAGGTAGAGGTAGGGATGGGGGTTGTTGAAAAGAGAGGATGGAGACTTATTGCAGAAAAGCTTTGTCCTCGAGGAAAATGAGCCAGAGCGGTAGGCCTATACCCTTCCAGAGTACTCAAGTGAACACACCTGAATATCGGGTTTGAGATTCAGATAGCTTTGCGGTTAAGGTAGGTAGGTGGTTCGAACCCAACCTCAGCATCTCGAAAGCTCCTGTCTAGGTTTGAGCAATCTGGTGGTATCGCAAACCCTGTGCTCCCTTGCGGTGGTACCGTACCTAGACACCGGGTGTTACAGCTCAACTATTGTTATTGCTGCAAGGTGAATAATGTATGAGTTGGTTGAAGGGCGCCGAAGAGATAATGAGTTTGGATGATTTTGGTGCAACTCGGCTTTTAAGAGAGATCTCCCGTGACCCCTCCTGCGCTTGACTGAAAACTTTGAAAGGAATAGTGGCTAACCGATATCACTAAAGTTCGTGCTCTCAATCTCCTCCCGGATAGTCCTATTGAGCAGTTTGAAGTATGGGCAGCTTATAATGCTTGCGATAGGCTAGCATTAGGTCCCTCTCTCAACCATTCTTTACACATTAAAGCTTTAGACATAATCAGATAAACCTTGTGAGTGTACAGAAGCGAGGCACCATCGCCAACACTAATGTTGCGGCCTCTGATGATGAATCCCAAAGCAATGCGGTCTAATCGATGATCCGGGAAAAATATTACCAGCAGGCTTCCCACTGGGGACGGTAAGAAGCACAGTCAGAGTGTACATTTCCAAAGTCGACCTTAGAGGAGGAAATCGGTATCGGTTTCATGGAGGATCTATGTGTTATGGATGAAAATAAGTAGACAATAGATTCGAACAGACGAAGACCGAAGATCTTGAAATCCCAGAAAAACACCGAGACGAATCGAGTAAAAGCGTTCAGCTGTAGCACCTTTTCGATGCCTAGCTGCCCGAAGGAAGCACGAGGGCTGGGATACTGCCAGGTTGCCCAAGCCTAGACAGGGGAAGCCGAGTGGCGGAGGTCGGATTCGAACCACGGACCTTCTGGTCAGTAAATTCTCGCTCTAACCACTTTGGCCATCCCGCCGAATCGACGAATCGAGTTACGAATAATAAACATAGAAATACATGACCACGAACAATATTATTCATAATAGTTATAATAATAAGGATAATAATAACAGTATGAACCCAGCAGGCCTGAATGGAAAATCGACACCAGCCTGCTATCAGCCACTGAAATCCAGCATGAGATATCGATCCTCAAGCGCGACAAGGCATCTGACCCGGTCTGCACCCCGCACTCCTCAAAGGTGACGAGGTCCTGATGAACAGTATGACAACCATACTACAGATTTGGAACGAAAACAGAATACCAGTCAAATGGAGCCCCAAACCGTCATCCAAACTTTCAAAGAAGCGTAAGAACGTTATATGAAAACCGTCGTGGTATCCTTCGCACCTAAAGTGCTCTCTGGCACTATTATGCGCAGGTTAATCCACTATATGGGAAAAAAGATTCGTGAGAACCAGGCTGAGTTTCGCCCTGGCCAAGGATGTATCGTCATATGTTTATCTTGACACAAGTTCTTGAACAACGCCGCTCCTACAGACGTCCCACGTTGGTCATTTTTCTTGATCTGAAAGCTGCTGTTGATTTTGTCGATCGTCGAAAGCTGGCGATATCTGGCGATCAAAGGTGTCCTTTTCAAATTTATATTCCTTATGAAAGTACTGTATGCGGACGCATGTGGGCGCGTATGAGTATACGACAAGCCTTTGTCTGAGTTCACCACCTCCATGGGTATGACCCAAGGCCGCCCTCTCACCTTTCCTCTTCAACTCTGTTATTGATGTGCTGCTTGAAATTTCTCTGCCAGCCTCTGAAATCTTCGGGAATCAGAATGCTCCCGGGACGTTCACTCACATACATTGATTATTCAGCCTATATTGCTTTCCTTGGTTCGAAATGCAGACAATTTCAAGTAACCTAAATGACTCTGCCGCACGGCTTGGCATACGCTTCGTACCTTCAAAGTGCTGCAACAAGACTGGCTTGCATGTAAGCCAATCGACGTGGTAGATAAATTTGTTTGCCTGGGCATACAAGTTCCGGTATGACCCAAGGCCGCCCTCTCACCTTTCCTCTTCAACTCTGTTATTGATGTGCTGCTTGAAATTTCTCTGCCAGCCTCTGAAATCTTCGGGAATCAGAATGCTCCCGGGACGTTCACTCACATACATTGATTATTCAGCCTATATTGCTTTCCTTGGTTCGAAATGCAGACAATTTCAAGTAACCTAAATGACTCTGCCGCACGGCTTGGCATACGCTTCGTACCTTCAAAGTGCTGCAACAAGACTGGCTTGCATGTAAGCCAATCGACGTGGTAGATAAATTTGTTTGCCTGGGCAGTTGTACAAGTTCCGGTGGATTGGCTGGAAATGAGATTATTTCTAGGATCGGGAAGGCCAGGGCAACTTTTGCCAACCTCCGACACTTATGGCACTGACGTGACATGAGATTCACGCCAAGGACAAAGTTTTGCACTGGGACGGAGTCTGACCATCGGTGTCTCCAAATCAGTGGTCAGGTCTGGTGGGGAAAAATCGTTCAGCTGTGGCACCCTTCCGGTGCTAGCTGCCATGGCACTGACGTGACATGAGATTCACGCCAAGGACAAAGTTTTGCACTGGGACGGAGTCTGACCATCGGTGTCTCCAAATCAGTGGTCAGGTCTGGTGGGGAAAAATCGTTCAGCTGTGGCACCCTTCCGGTGCCTAGCTGCCATGCCACCCGAAGGAAGCACGAGGGCTGGGATACTGCCAGGCTGACCAAACCTAGATAGGGGAAGTCGAGATGAAAAGGCCAGGTTCGAATCATCGACCTTCCGTTCAGTAAAGTCGCGCTTTAACCACTTGAGCCATCTCACATTGTAGGCACATCAAGTTGGCAGTGCCGAGGTACGCCAGATGGTCGTAGGAAAAGGGAACTCTCCCGCAACAAATGAATAACTCACGCATCATAGGTTACGCTGGTTAGCACATGCACTCCACATGCCAGAAGATCGCCTGCCTAGCGAAGCTCTTTTCGCTCAGCCCTGTGATGAAATAAAGCGACAAAGAGGTGGACAGTGTATGACCTGGCAACGAAGAATGAAAACTCTAATAGGTAAACTCAGTCGAGTCGACAATTGCCGCCTTCCTGGATGGGGACCCCGGAACTCGACTCACCAACTTTTAGTGGCACTGACAGGAGTGGCGCAATCGCACGGTCAATAAATCTCCCCCACCAAAGCTATCGCCATCAAAGCTATCCAATTCCAGGGGCTTGGCCGTATTTCCCGCACTCTCTCACTTTCCGGTGATCGAAACTGTAGCAGCTGGAACCGATGTACCTGTAGCACACGGTTTATAGCTGATAAATCGATTGGTCGATTGATTGATTGTAATCATCATCATTATTATTGTCAGCTGTAAGAACCGCGTACTCGTCGTACAGTGGTTGTAGCTGCCACAGTTTCGTTCACCGATGATTTGGGTGAGGGGGGAGGTAGCTGCGCATTGCAGGCGCGAGCTGGTAAGTTGGTGCATAAATCCAGCACTGTCAGTGGACTGTCAAGTGGGGGGGTTGGAAAAGGAGCTATGCATTGAAGGCAATAGCTTTGATGCACGAGCGCCATTGAGGGCGCGACTGGGCCATGTCTGACAATGTCTCCAGTCATTGATGTGGCCCGTCTCGGGGTCCCCATCCAGGAAGACGGCGATGACCAGCGCAGCTGAGTTTGCTGGTAAAGGCTTTCACACTTCGCTGCCAAGTCATTGTTTGACCGCCTCTGGCTCTCTTCCACCCTTCAAGTGGTTGTGCGAAAAGAGCCCTTCGAGGAAGATTGATTGTAAAATGATATATAACAATCTTTCCACAAGAAACAAGGTGGTTGGTGCGTTGCATTGATCAGTTTCGAAGGAAGGTGAACATGCTGCGCCACAACGCAAGTGGTACGGTTAACTTTTTGGTTGCTGTAGGAGTTCTTTCATTTCCTCCATAGAGTGGGTTCACATCTATTTTGGTTCACAAGGATCGGCGGTCGTATTAAAAGTAACTTCTAGATTCCGCTTATCCGAGTTTTACATTGAGGATTTTCACGTGTCAAAAATTCCTTGTCTTTTACCCGTTGACAGGACGTTCACGCGCACACTTTGGGTGGTATTCTAGTAGCACAACTTCCTTAGTCAGTGGACCGTGCCTTGCATCCTCATCATCATCAATGACAGCAACATCAGTGTTGGCACTGATGCTTCACTGCCGTACAACCATAAAGTTCGTTTAGTTATATATATGTATATGCGTATATATATATATATAATTGTATTAAAAGCCCTACAGTGAAGAGAAGAGAAAAAGTGCGGGTGAGGGAGGGGACCTAGTGCTGGCCTATGTCAAGCATACTGAGGTGTCTACACCTCCAACCGCTCAATCAGACAATCTGGAGAGAAACTGACAGCACAAACGCCACTGACATCGATTAGCCGCCATTTCTTGCAACGTCTCCAGCCAAGCACAGACGGGGTCACGGGGACCCTATCCTGGAAGTCTCACAACACCAACAACACCCAAACTCTTCGTGATCTCTTTCACGCCTTTTTACCAAGTCATGTGCTGTCCACCTCGCGGTTTGCGCCATCCTGAAGGAAGCACGGAGAACAACACGCGTCTCGGTAGACGGTGTTTTGGCATGCGTAGCACATGACCGAGCCATCGTAGTCGATGATGCTGGATGTTTTCCCGGATTGAGGTGCCTGCAGCACAACCGAATACCCGTTTTCTAATCGCCTCGTTACTGATACGCTGACGCCATCCGAAACCAGCCACGCTTCTGAGCCATCGGTGGTCGAAAACCTGAAGACGCCTCACATCATCTACCCGAAGAGGCCATGTCTCGCACCCACACAACAACACAGCCCTTACTGTAGCCTGGTAAACATGACCCTTAAGATCCAGTGAGATGCCTTGTTGAGGCCACAAGTGACGCAAATTAGCAAACGTGATTCGAGCCTTTGAGATTCCTGCACTGACTACATCAGACACACAACCATGACCTACACAACTGGACCGTGCCTTGACGTTTGAGCATGTGGGCGAATAAGGATGGGTACATGTGACAATGAATAACGAGGGAAAGAAGTACCTGAAAATACTTTACGACCGTGTAGGAAATGTCGTTTGTGAGATATAGCATGCGTGGTCACACAAAGTAGTGATCTGGGTGAACGTGACGCTTCCAGGGTACAGGACCTCAAGTCCTCTAGAACATAAGCGGCCTCCCAACAGCCGTCCAGCAGTTCTAGTTGCCCATTGCATTGTGGATTGTACGGTGTGCTGCTGACGCAGGCAACACCCCTATCTCGAAAAACACTTCTGAGATCGTCCCACGTGAAGCATGTTTCCCGACAGCAGTGGGTAAAAGATGGTAAGCAAAACAGAAAAAAGAGCTCAATCGGGCGAGATACTATGGATGGTGTCACCACATTTGGACAAGTTCGGTTCATTTCAGCTCAATGGTAAGTTGCATCCAGCTGCCACAGTCTCGATAACGGAAAATGAGAGGGTAGGAGATACGACAAAACATTGGGGGCGAGGCCATTCGACTCCCAACCAATCTTCGCTATAAAAATAACTGCGTTTCCGACATCCCTTCGTCCAGATAGGCTCGATACTGCTAAGCTACTGTAACTCATTGAAGTTGATGGACGGGGTAGGTCTGCTTCCGCACGCGTAAGGCTATCGGAAAACGAAGTGATAATCCAGTCCGGTCAATTGCATTATTTGTGCCGCAGAAGGAATGATAATCTGTAATTGAGGCTCTCCATCACTAACTGGTGAGTAACCAATCGATAATAAGCGCTCAGCAGTATCTGACAGCCATACGATTCAGTTGAGTCCATGACTGGCTTTCGGTTGGTGAGATCCAAGCAACTCGGTGTGAGCGGTTGTGCTTAAAGTTCGCATTGGTCAGCACACAACCAAAGAAAAAGCTCCCAATTGTTCGTACACTGAGTATTGCTTCTAAATCTACTGTCCAACTCAGCTTCTCCAAGGTCTAGCTGTCCCGCTTGACTGTTCATATCACCAGACAGGATGACTATATCTGTTGTGACCAAAGCAGTCACAACAGACCTCAGTACAACTCATTCTTTTCATATGCGGAAATACCGTCTGTCGGGGCGTATACTTCAACGAGAACTAAACACCATTCGCTGCATCGACCTGCAGTGATCTTCCTTGAACCATACAACCCTACAGCGAAACTATTTCTGGGAATTCAGCCCGTCATGAAAAAGCACCCAGAGCGTCATCGAAACTGCCTTCGACAAATTCAGAGATACACTTCGTTGAGGCATAAGCAGGGAGAGTAAAAAGGCTGCGATAAACCTCAAGCAAAAACGCTTCTGCTCCGTCGGTGAATAGGACACCCAAGCAGGCATGTCCAGCTGCAGCGGAAATCACCAGGGTTGCACAGCTAGAACATGGAAGAAAGCGAGTGTCCTGTATCCCTGTTTCTGAGAGGCAGAATACATCAATGGAGCGCCTCTGTGATGATTTCTATATTCACAAAAGTTTCAAAAGCATCGAGTGAAAACCACCTGCGCAGCACTCTAGTAGCCGGAGCTTCCAGGGTGCTAGCTGGTACTTGCGTGCACAGGTTGACTCATCATCTGGAGTCATATTTACGAGTACCAAGATGGGTTTTTTCATGATAAGGTTTGTATTGATCATATTTTCACCTTGCAACAAGCGCTGGGACCGCACCACTCCTGACTACCGAAGATAGCCATTTTTCTCGAACGTTAGACTGCTTTTAACATAGCTGATCGTCAAGCTGGGGCAGCATTTGACCATGAAGAGCGTCCTTCTAATTCTTTATTGTTTACAAATGCTCCATAGACCTCCCCCGTGGGCACGTGCGTGTCCCACCCAAACACTCTCCTGAGTTCAGGCGACAGTGTCCACTGTAACTCTTTATCTTCAGGCTCGTGATCGGTATGCTGCTCGGGTTTTCTTGACCTGCCCCAAACACCTGGGGGATCGAAGCAATCCAGGGAGTTTACCCACAAAAACTAAGTAAGCCGATGATATTACACCTGTTGGATCAGACCTTTTGGAAATGGAAACCATTTTTTTGAAAACCACGTAAAACGTCTTCACGGGTCGAAGGGTACTCCATAATTGGAAAGCATAAGTCGTTGCTGCAACCCAAACATCAAACTCCGTTGATGTGGGTGCCGATGCGGCTGAAATTGACATTGTCCTAAGCCGCCGAGTTGATGAATGTCTCTCCGAAAGGTTGTTTATTGATGGTCGCATCTGTGCGGTTCGTTTTGTAGCATATCCTGAACATGCGCTGAAAATCACCACCTGATCATCGTATCCACGAACGTCCCAGCAGAGTTTCTAAGACACTGAGTAGCTCAGTGAGGCAGCCTCACGGCTCAGCGCTTGTTGACGTTGCCAAGGTTATGAATCAGCAAATAGATTCAGCGCTGCTGTGCCTCAATTAGGTAGTCGTTTTGGAGTAAAATCCAGGCACACACAAAGGTGAACGCCTGCTGCAGTTATGCGCTGAGCACAAACCGTTCAGTTACCGACAAGGAGCCTCAATTAAAGATTCTCGTTCTTTCTGCAGTACGCCACTCGATTCTGATCATGCCATTGCGCGAGCTCGGTTATCACTTGGCTTTCCCTCAGCATTGCGCGTTTCAAGGCAGACCAATTCCACCCGTCAACTTCGACGAGTTTCAGTAGCTGAAGAGTACCGAGCTGCTCTACCAGGAAGCTACTGGAAATGCGGATACGAAGATTGCTTGGGGTCGGATGGAAACGAGTTAAAAAAAGCCACGTCCTCAGCTTTCAGAAATACTTGTCCACGCAACTTGATTCGACTAACTGAACACGAGATCAACAGAGCTATTGCTGCCAGAAAGGTCATACCAGGTCAACTAGCGACTGTGACTGCGCACCCAGATCCCTCGAACACCGGATAAGCAGGCCACAAATTTTTGCTGTGGAGGGGAGAAATCACGTCCTCCAAAGGCAAAAGGTCCGTGCGAACCGGACTCTCAGGGGCAAAAAAACCTGCAAATGAAAAGCGGTCCTCAAAACCACCAGGGCAGGAGGTAGACAAGTATGCCACATAGGCCCCTTCGGTGCCTTGGACTCAAACTCGGCGTACCGCTATTAAACCCGCTAACCTCTCTGGTAGCAGACCTCTCAACTCCCCACATTTGGACGCAGCATAGTTCGGAAATTCTTGCCGAATGACTGCATCAGTCTTTTTAGCAAACTTCACGGTATTAAACAACCACCTTGCCTTGAACAGTCGTCCATAATCGTACTTACAGAAACCTGGCTCACACCAGATGTCTGACGCGATCTTGATAGACAACTAATCTAGTTTTCGAGTTGACTCAAAACGCGTGAGGTTTGGTGGGGTTGCTTTATATTTACATGTGGCCAGACTGTCTTCTCCGATACCACTCCTGTACTTTTTTGCGACGCACCATGGATCCAAATCCGGGACCGATTCTCGTCATGGTCTACCGTTGCTCCTCGAGTGCTCCGGAAGATGACCAATTCCGCATACAAACCCTTGAGCAACTCTTCTCCAGCTACCACTTCACATATCTCTTGCTGCTGATTTTAACGCCCCCACAAAGCGTTCAGCCGTAGCGCCCTTCCGGTGCCTAGCTGCCATGCCACCCGAAGGAAGCACGAGGGCTGGGATACTGCCAGGTTGTCCAAGCCTAGACAGGGGAAGTCACCACGAACCTTCCGTTCAGTAAATTCGCGCTCTAACCACTTGGGCCATCTCGCCCCTAACGCCCCCAAGGTATCCCGGATGGGGCTCAAACGCGTCGCGTCTAGTGGACATTTTGCAGCGGTGCTGACCAAAGCCGTTCAACAGAGCGCTTGGATTCAACATTTCATCACACCCACCAGATACCGCACAGGCTAACTACCATCCCTCCTGGAGTGGGTCATCACCAACAAAAGACTTCGTCGATCAGGTGTTAAATAACGCCCCACTAGGACACAGTGCCCACTGTGTGCTGACATTTCATTTCATCCGCTATTGGGCCAGGAATCCCGAACCTCAAACGTGAGTTCGAGACTTCTGCCGTGCAGACTTCTCGGGAATGCACATCTTTCTCGATTAATTCAAGCTGGGACTGGCTTCAGTGGAAGAGTTATAAGGGCCGACGCGTGTGCAATTCGAAAAAACGGCACGCAGTCGGATGGACCTCAAGATACCCAGAAGGATTCGGCGACTTCTGCAAAAAAGTTCTCAACTATTTTTCAAAAAAGTTGAGTACAGGAGATACAGAAGATGAGATGGTTTCGTAAAATGCGGAGACGTTGTAAATCAAAAATCCGCCAACAGAACATACGAAAACAAGTCACCATATTAGAGACCTCGCCAGGAAAAACAAAAAGGTGTTGATGAAGTACGCCAGGGAAATAAGCCAACCGCGTTCTCCTTGAGGGGGAACTCAATAGCGATAACTGAAGCCTAAGAGAACACTATTCAGGTCTTCTTCAACTTCTTCAACTGCTATTGACTTTGTGCTGCCTACTGGGAGCAGCTGTTGCCCTGTGTCACGAAGAGACTGGGCCTTACCGTGGTGTGACGGTTTGCGCACCTCAGCAATCCATTGAGCTATACTGGAGAGTGTCCCGCGACACTCACAGAGTCTCTCACACCGGTCTCCTGGCCCTCCAGGTTGGGGGTTGGAACATGTGGCGACTTGTTCCGTAGAAATGGTAATGCATTCGCATTTCCCCGCCAAACACCGCTGCCTTGCGGTTAGGCTTTTGAGCCAAAGGCTTTGGTTGAGGACCCTAATCGTCCTCCTGTCTAGGTGTGGGCGCCCTGGCAGTATC